GGTGCATATGTGTCAAAATGATTAACACCTTTTTTTTATGAACCCTTTTGCTACTAATCTAGCCTTGTAGGTTTTGAATGTACCATCACTATGATACTTATTTCTAAACACCCATTTACATCCAATGGGCCTTGAACCCTTTATAAGATCGACAAGTTCCCAATGTGGTTCAAAATAATTGAATCCATTTCGTCTTGGATGGAATTTTTCCAAAAAGAAGAGTCCCTTGAAGCTACTGCTTCTTTATAGATTTTAGGATCATCTTCTAATTGAAGAATAATAGGGATCTTATGAACATCATGCTCACAATTTCCTCCAACGAGATAAAAGGAAATTAGTTGAGAATCAATTTCATTTGGTCCTAAAATTTTAGCTTTTCAGGATTTTTTGCTTATCTTATGCTCAGGTTGTGTTTCAACAATATGTGAGATACTTTCGGGTTGTATTTCAACAATCTGTGGAGAATCTTCATCATTAGATTCTTCATTCGCAGGAACCTCAGACTCCTTATCCTTTGTAATAAGATTTTCAAAGAACTCCACATCTCGGGATTCAACAATTACATTAGACTCTATATTTAAAAGTCTATATGCTTTATTGTTGGGTGCATATCCTATGAAAGTACATTTGATCCCAAAAGGATCCAATTTAGTTCTTTTAGGATCCATATTCTTGTATTATACTACACACCCTTATGCTTTAAAATAACTGATATTCGGTGATATACTTTTCCATATCTCATATGGAGAAATACCGGTTAGCTTTAAAAGAATCCTATTCATTATATGACATGTAGATAGTAATGCTTCACCCCACTGTTTACTGTGAAATTTGGTAAACAAATACAAGTTTATATTAATACTTAAGGGGTCAAATTTGAAAATCTCTCGGACATGTTTGTGTGTGTGTTATTCTTGAAAATCATAAAGCCTGTCGAAGTTAAAGTAAACTTCTTGAAAATACTTTGAAAAGATACGGATTGAAGTTATTTGTGAATAAGAACAAAAATCAAAGGATTGAGTAATTATAAACAAAATGCAAGTAAAGTAAAGAAAAAATGCTTTGAAATCGAAAGAGATAAAATGCAGAAAAAGGTTAAGATCAAAGTGCAGGGAATATAAAATGACATGAAAGGTTAAGGAAATTGAAACGTAAAATAAAGGCTTTTAAAGTAAAATTGCTGAAATTGTATTAAGTTATGGAATGCATACGCACATCTTTCTTCACTCATTTCTCACAAAGCATGTACTTTGAGTATTATAGAAATGTGTACAATTTGCGGACCCTTTTTACAAAATAAACATAAGTGTCTATTTATACTACTATAAGATAACTATCTAAGTATGATAAACTACTCTCATGGTGACACGTTCTAAGTCATGTAACGGTTTTCCCCGACGTATCCCGCATATTCTAAGTAACCGTCGATGCTGACATAGTTCCCGCCTTGTGATATCATTTGAATTTCTCAACTTCTTTTGTTGGGCGCCAATAGCTGCCTATCCTCGTCTAAGCCTTCGACATTGACCATGTTAAGGTGACTTGCTCAATTGGATTGTCCATTATAGTGATGTACCCCACATGTAGCATCCAAGTCAACATTGTTTCCATTATAGTGATGAACTCCATGTATGGCGGTTGAGTCAACGTTACTTCCATTGTAAATATGGACTCCAACCTTAGCCAACATAGCATAGTGCTCAATTTCACTAAGTCCTCATGCTTTTTACCACACCCTTCAACCTTGCCACTTTTGACTAGTATCCATTTACATGACTTTTGACCTTGAGTCATCTTGATCATGTGGACTCACTTGACCTTCCACGTGGCGTATCTATAGCTAGTCTCACAAATACTTGTCATTTATAGTCCTGTCAAAAAATTCAGTGTAACACCCACAAATTAAATGGAAAGTTGGCAACTCAGAATGCATTAACATAGCATTTATCATTTATTGATATATTCGATTCTTTCTCTTAGCTAGACCATTTTGTTGTGGTGTACGAGGTGCAGAACATTCATGTATAGTGTCATATTCTTCGCAATATGCATCAATTTTGTAGAAAAGTATTCACAACCTTTATCACTCCAAAGGACTTTGATACTTCTACTTAATTGATTTTCTACTTCTGCTTTATAAATTTTAAAGGCATTAAAAGCATCATCTTTATACTTTAAAAGGTATACATGTGTGAACCTAGAGAAATCATCGATGAAGGTTATGAAATACTGATTTCCCCCCATGGATTAATATGCCATTAAATTCACATAAATCAGAGTGCACAAGATCAAGCAAATTTGATTTTCTTTCAACACTTTTAAAAGGTTTTTTGATCATTTTTTATTTAACACATTTTTCACATTTTTCAAAATTATGAATATTGCATGAGACCAATTCGGATTTAAATAGTCTATTCATAGTACTAATACCAATATGTGGTAATCTATAATGCCATAAAGAAATAGATTCAAGCACATAAGCATAACTATAAGTTTCATTAATAATATTATCGGTAGTACAAAGTTTGATAATTCCCTCAGCGGAATATCCTTTTCCTACAAATACACAGTTACAAGTTAATATTAGTTAGCCTGATTCATATACATACTTAATACCCGGTTTTCCCAACAAGTCTCCACTAACAAGGTTCCTAGTATGTCGGGGGCATGAAGTACATTGACAAGAGTGACTTTCTTTCCAAAAGTAAAATTTAGTTTGACGGGTCTCATTCCAACGACTCTAGATCGTACTTCATTTTCTATCTGCACTTTTTGTCCATCATTTAATTTAAAATAGGTTTTAAATGTTGTTTTGTCATAAGAAGCATGCACGATATCACATGTATCATACCAACATCCTTGCATTTTGCCTTTGATTTCCATAATCTTGCTCACTGTAGCAATTATGTCATCATTTGCATAAACAACATTAACTTCATTTTTGGACTTATTATACTTGTAATCTCGAGCAAAGTGGCATGGTTTGCTGCACACATAGCAGTCACCTTTTGGTCAGTTTGATCTGCTAGAGTTCTTGAACTTGTTATGTTCCTTCTTATGGCCAAGATGGTTCTTCATGCCATCATGTTTCATCTTTCCTTTTGCAATCACATCATTGGCTTTAGAGTATCTAACAGACTCTGACTTTTCTCTATCCTTTGTCTCCTCCTCAATTTGAAAGTGTTTATGAAGTTTCTCCAATGAGAAATTCTTAGAACTATGCAACAATTTTTTCCTGTATCCTTTCCACAGAGGTAGAAATTTTGCAATGATTGAACCAACTTGGAAAACTTTTAGAATGTCTATTTTTACAACTTTTATTTTATTCACGAGAACATATAACTCGTGTACTTGTGCAAGAATTGAATTTGATTCTAACATTTTAAAATCTAAGTATTTAAATATTAAGAACTTTTTCGTACCTTCCTCTTCAGCCTTGAATTTGAATTCGAGTGCTTTCCAGATCTTTGATGAAGATTCGATATCAGTGTATAGAGCATATAGACAATTGGATAATGCGTTCAGAATATGTCTACAACATAGCAATTCATCTTCCTTTTTCTTCTTTCTCTCCTTCTTGATTTCATTGGTATCATCTTCTATTGGTTCTGGAATTGGTGTCAAATCAGGATCTAAGACATAGTGAATCTTCAAGGCAGTCAATAGAAATGTCATCTTGTCTTGCCAATGGATGAAGTTTGTTCCATCGAAACGATCCAACTTGACAAGGTTCTGGTTCATCACTTTGATGCTTGAAACTGAAGCATCGATGGTCATGATTTGAGATACTATAAGATTGTTAGATAAAGCTTCTAGATTGAATGGATCCAAGTTGGAATCGTGAATGAATCACTTTCCATATAGTATTTCAAGCACTCTCAAATATTTTAGCGTTTCTATGCAAGAATATCCTGGATAATTAAGCCTATACTTGAGTTTGCACAAGAAGAATGAAAACTCGAATATATGGAAGAGAATCTGGAATTTTTCTGAAGAAGATATATGTTTTTGCGATTTGATTTTTGAATTCAGAATGATTTATTTATAGGCCATATTTATGTTGTTTCACAAGGTTGCGACCCTTGATGAAACGACATTTTTCAACAACACTTTTACCAATAGTTGTATTGTTTCGCCTACAACAACGTCTTCCAATAGTTGCACATTTTTATTCTGCAAAATATTTTTGAATTCAAAATTCAAACTCAAGCAACGATCAAAACAAGAGCAACATCCATTTACCATATGTCGGCCACCACCGCCGCCGTATGTGCCTAAGTGCCACTTATAAGCTGTCACTAGCGCCTCCACACCCACACCCTCAGATCCAGTCTCGGAGTCGGTGTCGCCAACAAGTAGCATCATTTTAAGGACCACCAAACTTGTCCATGTGGCACTTTATTCTCTTTTATCCCGTTGTTAAATTAATGAACATAACTCTTTATAAAAGTTTTTAATATGAGTGTCATTTTCTATGTGAGACTATTTTTCAAATATTTATTAACATTTAATCACTTCTATTTTTCTTATCATTTTAGAACATACTCATAGACATTTATATAACTAAAAAAAAATGTTTGGGAAAATTTGGCAAACTATTTAACCAATTTTTTTTATAACAAGCAATATTAATATTATTAGTAATTGTTAACATTTATACTCACTTCACATCATAATTCTTCTACCTTAGTCATTAAACCAACTTTATATCTTCTACCTGTTTGAACAGTTAATAATTTACGATTTTAAATAGAACTTGTACAAATGAATTGGCTCGGTTTGTAAGCAAAATAAATAGAACTCGTAAATATTAATTTGCCTATTACACACACAAGGACAAGTAAATAATTCTGAAATTAATTATTGAAAAACATGATAAACAACAAATTAAAGCAGGATGATTTATCCTAACATCATCTCTTCACTTTAATTTTTTTATGAAAAGAAGAAGAATGAACTATAATAATGATTAATAATAGTAATAATAGGAATGGAAAAGTTTAGAGTTTCTTCATGATATCAAGCATCAAGTTAGGATGAGCACTTTGAAAGTCAGCTAACTCTTCAAGTGTAATAGAGCCATCACCATCTTTATCAATCTCTGACATTCTACGCTGAACTTCATCCTGTGAGGTTAACCCTAACACTTTGAGAGCATCAGTAAACTCAGACAAAGAGATCTTGCCATCGCCGTTCACGTCGAAGCGTTTGAATACACGTTCAATCTCACCTCTATCTGCCATTGTTGATTAACTTTGTTAATGAATGAATGATTAATGAAATGATAATGAGAGGAATTGGATGTGGAATGGTTAAGATTATAGGATATTTAATTTGATTGAGATGTCTAAGAAGTTGGAAACAAAGGGTGTAGATTACATAGACTTGGTCTTGTTCTTGCTTACTCAACGGATCACCCATGATGTTTTAGAGCATGTAATTTATTAACACAAACTTTCTAAAGCCAATTATTATCCGATATATATGGATTGATTATCAGCAAAAATATAATATATAATTAAGGGAACAAGAGTTTTAATAATACTATTTTTAGGACAAATATGATCAAATTTACCAATACAAAAACCAACATTACATTACATGTTTGATAGATGGAGCTTTGGACTTGGAATACAATATTAAATATCGGTTAGGTAATCAACTCCATATTAGTATTAGATTATTGGTCCAACCATACTATTATTGATTTTACTAAATTGAACCAAATGATTTGATCTCAATAAAAAGAATTTATGTCATTCAACCGTGTATCATGTGTTCTACTCTCATATATGACAAAATAAAATTCTAAAGTATGTTTTCCTTTGAAAACATGTTTCTTTGTGTTTGTCTTTTATCTTCTTCTGATTTATTGTGTATATGTATTTACTCTTAAAATGTTAATGTATTGTTTGAGGTCATATATTTTGGTTTTCATTATTTTTTGTCCCACGCATTAAAATTTTTGGTGTCTTTAAAGCTATTAACATTTCACTAGAATTGTTAGAGTTTTAACAATAAATGGCATCTACCGTGCAAAGAGATTTTGTTTACTAGTAAGCTCCATGAGTTTTAAATGGCAGATTGAAAAGTTTTTCAGAAACAACGCTTTTGTGTTGTGAAAAATAAATATGCAAACAATCATAACTCAAAAGAAGTGTATTGAAGCATTGAAGGGTGAGACATCGATGTTTATACGTCTAACATAAGCAGAGAAGACCGAGATGGTGGATAAGGTCAAAAGTGACATTATCTTATGCCTTAGGGGTAAAGTTTTAAGAAAAATCGTCATGGGGGGGCTATTAATTCAATGTTGACAAAACTTGAATCATTGTAAATGATCAATTATTTGGATCATTGGTTGTGTTTGAAACAACAACTATACTAATTATTTAGATCATTGAATAGTAAGGAACACGTCCATAGTGGAATAGTTGAAAGAATTTCATAAGATCATTGATGATTTGAAGAATATTAAGGTGAAGATTAATGAACTGGATAAGGCTCTATTCTAGTTAAGCTCATTATCCAGATCATTCAAGCAGTTCAAAGATGCCCTTATTTATGGTAAAAAAATATCTTATTACTTTGGATAAAGTCTAGATGATAATAATATGATTTAAAACAACTCATTTGAGAAATCAGAGTTTGAAAACATTTTATAAAAAAATGTTTGAATAAGTATACAACAAAAATTCAAAGTAAAGAAAATTACTTAAAATAAACGAGATATGGGAAGAGAAATGACACTGAAGAGTTCTACAGGTTCGACCAAGAAGACCTAATCATATCCCCAAGAATTAATCTTGAGAGTATTCACTGTACTTGAAAGCTTTTAGAAGGTTATGCCCACAAACACCCTTATAAAAGGAAATGAATTTTCAGGCTAACTTCAAACCAAACACCAAACATGGCTTGAAGCGGTTAGTTTTCACACAAAACAAAGACTTTGGGCATGGTATTTTCAAATCAAGATAGAGTCTTGAGTTAGATATTTTTCAAACGAAACCGAGGTTTTACACAAGGTGACCACTGTTGTGAATCGGATACCTTTAAACAAAGTATAAACAGTTTCTTAACGATCAAGAAACACACAAGGGTTAGGGTTAACAAAGAAGACAAGGTAAAATAACAAGGAACAACAAGGATTGGTTATTAAACTGTTATTCTTTCCTTTCTCTTAGAACAAGATTACAAGTATACAAGAATAACAAAATAACCTCTCTCCCTTGAAATTAGGATTTTATCTTCCTATTTTCCCTTATGCCAAGATTGAGAAACTAGCATCCTATTTATAATAAAATAGCACATGCTAACAACCTTAGCAATATTTACTCATGCTAACAACCTTAGCAATATTTACTCATGCTAACAACCTTAGCAATATTTACTCATGCATGTTAGAACAAACTTCGACTACAACACGCATTACTTGCGAACAGACTTCGACCACACTAGAGTTCGATCCAATGTCTCACAAATCTCCACCTTGGATCTAACTCTATAACATCAAGAAACTAGCTTTCTTCATGCAGATTTATTAACTGCATACAGTGGAAAAACTTGCAACTGGGCAATGTCTTGGTGATCATATCAGCAGCATTATAATCTGTCGAAACTTTCAGCACTTGGACTTCTCCACGCTCGATTACCCCTTTGATAAAATGCAGCCTCACATCAATGTGCTTGGTTCGCTCATGATAGGCTGAATTCTTCGACAGGTGTATTGCGCTTTGACTATCACATTTAACAGTGATAACTCGACCTTGAAGTTTTAGCTCATTTGCAAAACCTTCAAGCCACAATGCTTCCTTCACAACTTTAGTTAGGGCAATATACTCCGCTTCAGTGGTTGATAGGGCAACGACCTTCTGAAGTGTTGCTTTCCAACTGATTGATGTCCCAAACATAGTGAACACATATCCAGAGATAGATTTTCTGGAATCCATACAACCTGCATAATCAGAGTCGACATATCCATCGATTGCTGCTTTACTATCTTCACCTAAGGCTCCACCATAAATTAGGACTCTATTTAGAGACCCATTTATGTACCTTAAAATCCACTTCAATGCTTGCCAGTGAGCCTTTCCAGGATTCGCCATGTACCTGCTTACAAGACTTACTGCATATGCTATGTCGGGTCTAGTACAGACCATAGCATACATCAAAGACCAATTTGTCTTCTTTTGATTCCTCATAACTTCCTTATAGTCTCTAGGTTCTTCGTCTAGAACCTCACTTGCAGAGATTAAGGCATAAGCTATAAGATCTGCATACCCAAGTCTCTGAGGTGGCTTGATGACTCTCCTCGACCTGTCTCTTGCTAGCAGGTAGTCATTATCAGTCTCCTCATCTTCGACAACATCTTCTGTGTCTTCTTCGACTTCATCTGGGGTAAGCAATTCAGCATCAACATGCTCCACCTCAACAGGAATCTCTCCCTGTTCCAGCTCTTCGTCAGCATCATCAGTTTTCTTGAAAGCCATCTCTGCTTCGTTGAAAACTACATCTCGACTGGTGATACACCTCCTGTGACCTTACTCTAGGCACCATAGCCTATAAGCTTTGACTCCTTCAGGGTATCCCATGAACATGCATTTCAGAGCTCTAGGTTCGACCTTGTCTTGCCTAATATGAGCATAGGCCACACAGCCAAATACTCTCAGCCTGTCGAGACTAGGTGGATGTCCCGACCAAACTTTTTCAGATGTCTTCATTCCCAAGGCAGTCGAGGGACATCTATTTATCAGGTAAGCTGCTGTCGAAACAGCTTCCGCCTAAAACACCTTCTTCAATCCAGCACTAACCAACATGCATCTAACCCTTTCAAGGATTGTTCGATTGAATCTCTCAGCTAAGCCATTTTGTTGAGGAGTACATGCTACAGTCTTATGTCTTGCAATCCCAGACCCAACACAGTAACTGTCGAAAGCTTCGTTGCAGAATTCAAGGCCATTGTCGGTTCTCAACCTCTTAACCTTTCTGCCAGTCTGAGTTTCGACTAGAATCTTCCAACTTTTGAAATTCTCAAAAGTTTCATCCTTCGTCTTCTGAATGAATACCCATAGTTTTCTGGAATAGTCATCAACGATGGATAGAAAATACCTTGCACCTGAGTGTGAAGGACTCCTTGCAGGCCCCCAAAGATCAGCATGAATGTAATCCAGGGGTCCATGTGTTCTTTGCTTGCCTTTGTTAAACTTCGCCCTACAGGACTTACCAAATACACAAGATTCACAAAATTCCAACTTTTCGACTTTGTCACCTCCTAGCAGGTTCTGCTTCCCCAATTCGACCAGGCCTCTTTCGCTGACATGGCCCAATCTCATGTGCCATAATTCTGTCTTCGACATAGATTTCGTGGATGCAACATTTGTCGAACCACTTACAACCTCAGCCTCAAGGGTATACAAGCCTTGTTTCTTCACGCCTCTCAAGACTTCCTTCGACCCCTTCATGACTCTTAGGATACTTTTCTCTCCTTGAAAAACATATCCTTTTCTGTCGAATTCACCAAGAGAAATCAAATTTATCTTCAAGTCAGGTACGTACCTGACTTCAGTCAATAACCTTATTGACTCATCAAGGAGCTTGAATCTCACAGATCCAATACCTGCAATTTTGCAAGATTTGTTGTTTCCTAACAGCACAGATCCACCATCTTGATCACATAGCTCCTCGAACAATTCTCTGTTTGGAGTCATGTGCCAAGTGCAACCTGAATCCATAATCCACTATTTCCTCGAGTTGCCACTTGAAACCACAAGAACATCAGATGAGTCGAATTCATCTTGAACAATGGCTGCATTGCCATTACCTCCATGATCTTTCAGGCGTTCAGGGCATAACTTTCTTATGTGACCCTCCTTCTTACAGTGGTAACATCGAATACTAGATGTTTCGCCACTATAAGACTTCTGTTGACTTTTACCTTTTTTCTTGTCAAACTTACCATCCTTTTGCAAGAATTTTCCCTTAACGGCCAAACCTTCGCCCACCGTCGAAGGTTTATGCTCCTTTCGTTCGTTCAAGTCCTTAGAATACAAGGCTGATTGAACTTCTTCAAAGGTCAGGGACTCCCTTCCATACAAGAGAGTTTCTTTGAAGTGAGCATGTGTTCTGGGCAAAGCACACAGCAGCAATAGTGCTTGATCTTCATCATCGATCTTCACATCAATATTTTCAAGATCAAGAATCAGCTTGTTGAACATATCCAACTGCTCAGCCAACACTTTGTCTT